CTGTAGAGTGATTATAATTCTTAAGACCATTATAGATATAAGAAAAAAATCTGTTTTAAGCTCATCTGCTATTCAATCTGTAATTTAAAATTTTATTTTTAGTCTTCCTTAAACATTAGTCAAAGATTAGATATTAAAATGATTATATTTTTTTGTAAACCAATATTGTAAGGTTTCTATATATACTTGTATTGATTTTTATTCTATTTTTGCTTAAAAAATACAAGGATGAAGTTTAACCTTATAATTTCTCAGACTTAGTAAAATAATAGCCTAAAAGCTTTTGATTGTAAAACAAAATGATATAGTCTTTAATGTTTTCAATCTCTCAAAATATATTTTTATACCTCAACATTAAATAACTATTGACATTTCTATAGAATTGGGAAAAGCTTAAGTGACTTGACAGTTCTATAGATTTGGGAAAAGCTTTAAGTGTTTTTGGGGCTATTCTTTTTTTAATGTAAACTTGCTTAAAACTTAAGTTCACTAGTAGATCCCATGTATACATTTTTCTTTTCAACAGCATAAAACAAAACAGGTTTTGTGATAAGTCAAGTTTTTTCAAATAAAAATTGATGATTTTTTTACAAACTTTCTAATCATACATGGTATTACTCTTTTAAAAGGACTTTAAGTTTGCTTGGTCTGAAAATTTTTCCTTAAGGAAGAAGGACAATTTTCTAATTTTAGTGATTTTATAAAGCATCATTATGTTGAAACTTTATTAATGTTTTATATATTAACATATGCAAATAAGATTGTTTTTTCTCAGGCAAAAGAGTGTCCCTAGTTCCCCTGTTAGAAAAAAAGAAGGGTCAATGCTTATAAATTTCTCTGTGAATTTCCAACTTCTTTTATTAAGGTTGGCAAAGCAGGTTGAAGTGTAAATGCATTTTTATACGCCCGTTTGAAAAACGGGACCGTATTATGGGAACGGCCCCTGGCGGGCGGGCGGGCGGCGTCAATTTTGTCCGGAGCATATCTCCTACATGTATGGGAGGGATTTTAATGAAACTTCATAGAAATGTTCACCACTATGAGGAGCAGTGTAGCGCACATGAACCAGGTTCTTTAGGTCAAAGGTCAAGGTCACACTTAGAGCTCATTGAAAAATGCCTTGTCCGGAGCAAAACTTCCACATGTATAGAGGGATTTTCAATATTACTTGGCACCAAATGTTCACCATTGTAAAGGCAGATTGTCGCGTGCAAGATTCAGGTCCTTGCGGCAAGGTCAAGGTCACACAATAGAGGTCAAAGTTCAGATAAAAATATGAACGATGTTATATGGACCATTTAGTCATCATTTATTGGGATTGTAACACAAATGGTCATTATCAAGACCTATGGCTGTGATACATATAATTTTAGGTCAATATATACAAGGTCAAGGTCACTAAAGATGATGAAATATCCAGATTTTGTAAATAGAATTTAATCAAAGGGCGACAACAAAGTTATTACTTTGTTCATAAATGACTTACACAATTACTTCCCCTTGATCTTCTTTCACTTTCAATTCTAAAAATAGAAAAATTAATCAAAGGGCATAAAATAATCCGCTTTCTTGGACCTTGAGTAATGTTCTAAAAGAATGTAACATTTATTTACACATGTTTCATTCATTGTTCAAGATTCTTAACTGTGATAACTATGGTGTTCTGTAGACTTGGTATTTGTTCATAATGATCATACAGTAATTACCTTATCAAATGTAAATACTTTCTCATAGAAATTTAATTATATTTTAATTTTCAAGTAAATATCAGTTCAGCTCTCCTACATGTATGGAGGGATTTTTCATGAAACTTCAATAGAAATGTTCACCACTATGAGGAGCAGTGTCGCGCACATGAACCAGGTCTCTAGGTCAAAGGTCAAGGTCACCACTTGGAGCTCATTGAAAAATGCTTGTCCGGAGCAAAACTTCCACATGTATAGAGGGATTTCATATTACTTGGGCACAAATGTTCACCATTGTGAGGCTGAGTGTCGCGCGCAAGATTCAGGTCCTTGCGGCCAAGGTCAAGGTCACACATAGAGGTCAAAGTTCAGATAAAAAATATGAAGATGTGTATATGGACCATTTAGTCATCAATTTATTGAGGGATTGTAACACAAATGGTCATTATCAAGACTATGGCTGTGATACATATAATTTAGGTCAATATATACAAGGTCAAGGTCACTAAAGATGATGAAATATCCAGATTTTGTCCGGAGCATATCTCCTACATGCATGGAGGGATTTTAATGAAATTTCATAGAAATGTTCACCATTATGAGAAGCCATGTCACGCACATGAACTAGGTTCTCTAGGTCAAAGGTCAGGTCACACTTAGAGCTCATTGAAAAACGCTTGTCCGGAGCAAAACTTCACATGCATAGAGGGATTTCAATATAACTTGGCACAAATGTTCACCATTGTGAGGCGGAGTGTCGCGCACAAAAATTCAGGTCCTTGCAGCCAAGGTCAAGGTCACACATTGAGGTCAAAGTTTAGATAAAAATATGAAGATGTTTATAGGGACGATTTAATCATCATTTATTGAGGGATTGTAACACACAAATGGTCATTATCATGACTACGGCTGTGACACATGTACTTTAGGTCAAATATATGCAAGGTCAAGGTCACTAAAGATGGTGAAATATCCAGATTTTGTCTGGAGCATATCTCCTACATGGGGTATGGAAGAATTTTTATAATACTTTATGGAAATGTTCACCACCATGATATGTATTGCTCCATGCATGATCCAGGTCTCCAGGTCAAAGGTCAAGGTCACACTTAGAGCTCATTGAAAAACGCTTGTCCGGAGCAAAACTTCTACATTCATAGGGGGATTTCAATATAACTTGGCACAAATGTTCACCATTGTGAGGCTGAGTGTCGCACGCAAAATTCAGATCCCTGCGACCAAAGTCAATGTTACACATAGAGGTCAAAGTTCAGATAAAAATTTGAAGATGTGTATAGGGACCATTTAGTCATCATTTATTGATGGATTGTAGCACAAATGGTAACTCTCATGACTACAGGTGTGACACATTTAATTTAGGTTAATATTTGCAAGGTCAAGGTCACTGGAGATGATTAAATATCCAGAATGTTGTCCGGAGCATATTTTCTACATGCATGGAGGAATTTTTAATGTTACTTTATAGAATTGTTCACCACCATGAGACGTAGTGCCCTGCACATGAACCAAAGTCTCTAGGTCAAAGGTGAAGGTCACAGTTAGAGCTCATAGAAAAACGCTTGTCTGGAGCAAAACTTCTACATGCATAGAGGGATTTCAATATAATTTGGCACAAATGTTCAACATTGTGAGGCTGAGTGCCGTGCATAAAATTCAGGTCCCTGCGACCAAGGTCAAGGTCACACATCCTGTGCATATCTTCTCTACTGATTTGTTTTAAGGTTCATTTAACAAAACAGTGCCAAGAATAAAAACTTGCTTGCTAGATAACACTTATCCATAATGCCCCCATCTCCATCTAAAGCTTTCGTAAACGGGCGTATTTTGTGACTATGGCACCCTTGTTGCATTTTTAATTCTATGTTATTTAGTATTTACAGTGTTTAATGTTTGCAAATGCATTAATTTATGAAGATCATTTCATGATAACTATAACAAAAGTCCATGTAAACTTTTTTCAGCCACTGATGACACAATTCAAGATATACTTGGGCATATAACTGAAGGTGTTTGTCGACCGTTTAAGGTATGGCTCTCACATTGTTTCTTCAAAGAAAGGACTTATTGATAATCCATCTCTGACAAAAAGTCTTATTGTCATTTGTCTCTCACCACTTATTCAGAAATCATGTAGGATTAGAAGTTGGTAACTTGAAGTGAAAGTGGTAATTACTGGTGGGTCATTCAGGACAGTGGGCTAGGTAGACTGACTGCCTTGCAATGACTACACAACATATGATAAAATCTTCGTAAAAATTACGAAACAAAAGTACTAAACAAATAAAGCATGGACCTCTCAAAGGAACAACTTATATAAGATAATAAGGGACAGATTCATCTTTTATAATATACAGTAAACTTTGCTTGTAACAAACTCATTGGGATATTCAAAATCTGTTTTTAGCTCGACTATTCGAAGAATATGAGAGCTATTGTAGTCGCCCCGGCGTCGGCGTCAGCGTCCGCGTCGGCGTCTGCGTTGGTTAAAGTTTTTTGTAAAGTCAAATATCTCAATAATTACTTGAGATATTCAATTGAAACTTACAATACTTATTTATAGTAACAAGGTACATCAGATTGACAAGTTGGATAACTCTGCCTACAATATTGACAGAATTATGCCCCTTTTTAACTTAGAAATTTTGGTTAAAGTTTTTTGTAAAGTCAAATATCTCAAGAAATTTTGGTTAAAGTTTTTTGTAAAGTCAAATATCTCAATAATTACCTGAGATATTCAATTGAAACTTACAATACTTATTTATAGTAACAAGGTACATCAGATTGACAAGTTAGATAACTCTGCCTACAATATTGACAGAATTATGCCCCTTTTTAACTTAGAAATTTTGGTTAAAGTTTTTTGTAAAGTCAAATATCTCAATTATTGCTTGAGATATTCAATTGAAACTTACAATACTTATTTATAGTAACAAGGTTCATCAGATTGACAAGTTGGATAACTCTGCCTACAATATTGACAGAATTATGCCCCTTTGGAACTTAGAAATTTTGGTTAAAGTTTTTTTGTAAAGTCAAATATCTCAATTATTGCTTGAGATATTCAATTGAAATTTTAAATACTTTTTTTATAGTAACAATTGCAAAATTGCATAACTCTGCCTGCAAAATTTGAAGAATTATTTGCCCCTTTGAAACTTAGAAATTTTGGTTAAAGGTCTTCAAAGATGTTTACTTGAAACTTTACACATGCACTTAGGGTCATAATTGGAGGGTCATAATTGTATGTCACTGACCAAGTTCCATAACTCTATCTTGCATTAAGGCTGATTCATATCCCCTTTTCTACTTAGTCTCTTGGTTAATGTTTACATGCAAGTTTTACATATCTCAATAACTATTAAAGATATTTATTTAAAACTTCACATATGCATTTAGGGTCATAATTGTAGGTCACTGACAAAGATCCATAATTCTATCTTGCATTTAGGCTGATTTTTCTCCCCTTTTTCAACTTAGAAATTCATGGTAAAGTTTTGCTTGTAAGCTGTTATCTCAATTACTACTGAAGGGTTTGTGCCTTTTTTTGGGACAATTTTATGCATTCATAATAATAAAGCAGTGATTTACTTGATAAAACATCTTAATTAGAAGCCTTTGTACCTTTTCTGTCAAATTTATGTATTCATAGGTAATTAGTATTATTATACTCAATAAAACAACCTTGTGACATTACTTCCCGAATAGTCAAGCCAATACTGTATAATTAGACTCTCTCTAAGGCCTATAACATGAATTTATTAAAAAAAAATTAGACCTTTTGTGATCTTAAAAAATTTAACATTATCAAGGCTCTTTTACTATCAAGCACTTAGAATAGTCGAGCGTGCTGTCCTACCGACAGCTCTTGTTATATCTGAAGTTCCTTGTAAGCATATAGTGAATTAGTTCCTTGTATCAGGAGTTTTTATAGCAAACAGATTTTCATATAACAAACTGATTGTTTACCATCCTCCTCCATTTTGAAGAGCATTTGATTAAGAAAAATAACTCATTTATAACGTTATTGTTGTCTCCTTTACATTGATTCAATAAAGAAAAAAGAAATAATTACAATGTTGTTGTTTTTTTTTTAATAATTTTTTTTATACAAATATATCTATAACATAATTATACATTATACAATATTTTTATTTATTGACAATACAGTATCATGTAGAAAAACAGTCATTTTGCTTTTCTGTCAAGCGTACTTTTGTACTTCTCAATGAACTTTACTAAGAAATAGCATACCTAATTATGTTCAATTCTTTTGTAGGTTAGGGTGGAGCAGGTTTTGGTGTCGGAACAAGATGCTGTAACACTCTACAAACTGAACAATCTTCTTAAATTCTACCTGCATACTATAGGGTAAGAAACTAAATGAAGATATTAGTAAGCATATATATAAATAGGTATATTTAAATTATATTAAGGAGACATAAAGCAGTGATAGAAACAACTGCTCATAATGATCTGACTATTGTAAAGTATGAAAAAGATATATAAAGACTGTATGAACATCCATGCAATCTGATCAGAATCCATATTGTTGTGTTTCCAATTTTTAACTCTAAGCCCTCTGAGAGCAATTACAAGCAGCCTTTGCAAACAGCTTTGTCCTAAATCATATGCCAAGAACATGAGCCTCAAATTTTTTTAAATCATTCTTTGTGATAAAACCAAAATGACCACCACAAATTCTGAACAAATAGTCTCAGAATTTCTTTTATGACAACCGTGCAACTCATTGTTTGTTTTAATCGTGATAAATTTAGATGAAATTTAAAAAGTTCAATATTCAAGCATTACAGTAATTTAAATATTGTTTTGTTTCTTTTTATTCTTAATTCCAGGCAGATAATTAACCCAGATGCTGCTTTGTTGTCAACTATTTTGGAAATACGTGATCTGAGCCACAGAATGTTCTTTAACAGTTTAACATGTAATGCCAACAAACTACTGGATAAGGTGAGATATTGTCTTACTTCATCTGTCATTAAGAACAATAATCTTGTTACATCTGTAATTAAGAACAATAATCTTGTTACATCTGTTATTAAGAAAAATAATCTTGTTACATCTGCCATTAAGAACAATAATCTTGTTACATCTGTTATTAAGAACAATAATCTTGTTACATCTGTTATTAAGAACAATAATCTTGTTACATCTGCCATTAAGAACAATAATCTTGTTACATCTGTTATTAAGAACAATAATCTTGTTACATCTGCCATTAAGAACAATAATCTTGTTACATCTGTTATTAAGAACAATAATCTTGTTACATCTGCCATTAAGAACAATAATCTTGTTACATCTGTTATTAAGAACAATAATCTTGTTACATCTGTTATTAAGAACAATAATCTTGTTACATCTGCCATTAAGAACAATAATCTTGTTACATCTGTTATTAAGAACAATAATCTTGTTACATCTGCCATTAAGAACAATAATCTTGTTACATCTGCCATTAAGAACAAAAATCTTGTTACATCTGTTATTATGAACAATAATCTTGTTACATCTGCCATTAAGAACAATAATCTTGTTACATCTGTTATTATGAACAA